TGTCATGTACTGCATGTCTATATTGGTTGTTCCAAGTGGACTTGGTGCTGTGGCTCATTTGAATGGGTATGGGCTCTTCTACGGACCCATGATCGTGTATTGAACGTGGCTCTTTGTTGAAGGCCCAATAAGGCTGGGTATTTAGTTATTTTATTTGGGCCTATTGTGGGTCTGTTCACTGTTATGTAATATTTTTACTCATTGTTGGGCCTGTAATAATCTTTGTATAAACAATTGGGGTTGTTAGTAAAAGGGAATGGGGTAGATTTTAATATTTACATGTGATGGGTAGATGACATGCCTATAGGACTTGATAATGTGTTCGCTATATGTGTTGTTCAATTACATGAGCACTGTAGAGATCATGACATTAGGAGAAGCACACACGCACTTCCTGTTTACCATTAAACATGAGTTCAAATGCTATGTCTACTGCTACGTGTTTATAGACAGCATGCCTATAGGAAGTGAGCACTCTTTTAATTTGCATGACTGCTTTCAACCGCATTAGAAACCTGCCTATAGGAACAAAATGAATTTTCCTTCAATTCACTTCAATTATTCACTAGAAATCATGCCTACAGGATTTTGACCACTTCATTCGTTATTGTATCGCACTGATCACTAGAAATCCTATTTATAGGACTAAGTATAAATGAAACGAGTTCTAATCATCAATCGTAGAGATCCTTCCTATAGGAAATAACTACTTATTAATTGGTTAATGCTAGACCATTCAAACACTGCTTCATGCACGTCGTATGAATAATTCTGGGACACTTTCCCTAGCAGATTCTATTGTACCCAACCGCATAGATCACTTAGGCATCATACATGTATGATTGGTAACTTAAAACTCTCAACAATTAGCTTATGATACCCATATGATTCTATCTATAAGCTATATCCTGCATCTAAAATCACTTGCATACTTTGATCTCCTAGAAAGCCTGTCTATAGGATTCTGCAGATTCTTGTTTGGCATATGTGTTTGCGTTCATTTATTTCTTAAGTGCGGAGGCAAACTTGAGCCCCTTTATTGCCATATTTGAAGTCCAATATATTTTGTATGTCGCCTAGTTTTATCATTTTGAGCAGCCTAAGTTTAAGTCTAGAACCACCCTAAATAGAAGTCCAATGCCCTCCTGGACCATAGGTATGGGACGAGTAATGCATGCATAGAGTACGACCTATAATTGAATTAGAACGCTTTTAGGTAACAACTTTAACATAGTAATCGGGTAGCAGGAGATGATAGTCTGTGCCCGCTGAATAATATGAGTAACACCCCATCTTGAGGGAGTTACGAAGTATTATTTATGTTGCACGGGGTGATCCTTTAGGCTAAAAAACTTAGGTCCCCCTCCTCTTTATATGTTGTTATTAGATCTAAATAGTCGTATCCCTATATTCGCACTAAGATCTGTATTAATCATGTTGTAATAAAGTTCTATGACTTCTGAACTCCTTTATTTATTTGATTACCTAGCTTAATCATAATCCACATAATCTTAAGTTCAGTCGGGACCCACAATTGTGGACCTCGAGTAGTGCCTAACACCTTCTCTTTGAGGTAACTTGAGCCTTTACCCGATCTTTGGTGGCGTTGACTAGTCAAACAGAGTCATTTGCATAAAAGGTGCCCTAACGCACCTTAAACCGTTAGGTGGCGACTCTCCTCTTTTAATACCTTCTTTAAAAGAGTTGTCACGTGTCGAAACCCGATTTCGCGAGAAAAAGAGGGCACAACAGGTATCGATTATGTACATCGGCCCAGGTTACCGCTGGGTATTCAATTAAATTCTGCTTTAGCTGTCGTGAGGCCACCAAACTTCGATCATTCAAACCTTGAGTAAAATCTTGAACAACCCAATCGTCGGTGACTGGTGGTAATTCCATACGTTCCATCTGAAACCGAGATACGAACTCCCTTAACATTTTATTATCTTTCTGTTTTACCTTGAAGAGGTCGACTTCCTAGTCGCAACCTTTATTGCTCCGGCATGTGCCTTCACGAAAGATCTGCAAGCATGGCGAAGGAATCGATGGAATTAGGTGGCAGATTGTGAAACCATATCATTGCCCCATTTGATAGAGTTTCTCCAAACTTCTTTAGTAGAACTGATTCGATCTTATCATCTTCTAAATCATTTCCCTTTATCGCACATGTATAGGAGGTGACATGCTCATTTTGATCGGTGGTTCCATTGTACTTGGGGATTTCCGACATGCAAAAGTTCTTCGGAATGGGCTTTGGAGCCGCACTCGGGAGGGAGGGGGGGCTTCTGCATAAACTTCTTCGAGTCCATACCTTTCAAAATTGGTCGTGCCCCCGGTATTTGATCAACCCGGGAGTTATATGTCTCTACTTTATTGTCATTTGCCTCAATTTTCTTTTCTCCCATTTTAATTCGTTTAGTGAGCTCCTTGAACATTTTCATAATGATGGGGGCAGTCTTCGATTCATTGGCATTTGACCTTTCTGGCACTGGCTCGGTCCTGTGAACGACTTCAAGTTCTACCTCACTCGGTGCTCGATGTTGATTTTGTAATTGTGCTGTAGCGGCTTGTTGAGCCTGTAACATTTCAAATATCAATTGGAGGCTAACTCCACCCTGCGTACTTCGACCACCAGATCGACCTTCTCTGCTTACGCTACCTTTGGGATCAGCGCCCAAATTTGTATTTAGGGCGATATGTGAACTGACATCGATGGGGTTAGCAATTGGTACTCCCTCGAGATCAGCCTGAGGCACCTCGATTTCTGGGGCGACTATATTATCGTTTTCCACGTGAAATCCGAAACCGTTGTTACCGTGTGTGGGTGTTATTTGTGAGTTTGACATGCTTTTTCCTGAAAACAAAAATATTTACAAGAACAAGCGTAAAGTAGTATGTGTTATCGGAATCAATATTAAGGAATCACTATTATCCTTAGCCCCATGGTGGGCGCCAAATTGTTTACCCTCAAAATTGGATAACAATAAAACTTATAATGTGGATTTAAGGACACGTGATTTCACTTAATACCGATTGATAAATATGAAGATTAAAGATAGAATTATACAATAAAGTAAATCAAACCAGTATTTGAGTAGCACTCAACCCTTAAGTTAAAGTATCCTTGAACTGATTGATGCAAGGACAATAAAAATACAATAAGCTGAAGAACAAGAGTGTGAGCGAGGAAGAAAATTATATTGCTTAGTTATCAGTCATGGCTATAAATGGTTAGAACTCCCCTTTATATAGTAGAGGAATTCTATATATGATACAATTCTAATTACAGAAGGAAATCTCATGATTAACTAAACAATCGTTCTTGATTCGATCCGTTCCGAGATTTCCGCCAGGATCTTCAACCGGTCGCAGATATCTCAATTTTCTGTTATTACACAATCTTCGGTATTGCTCGATACCTGTCTCGTTCGGCCTCGATTGCTGTCGGCCTCGATCTTGGCAAGTGCCTCGAATCCCGATCTCGATACCTTATCTTTATGCCTTGATCCGATCTACTTCGGAGTCGTTCTTCGATGCAAACTCCCGGTATCGGTCAAACAGTAAAATCGGACAGGCCCGATTTTAACCGTATACAGTTAAATAGTTGAGCAAAATTTATTTATAGCCCATCGGCCCAAATATATATCACCCGGTAGCCCAAAATTGCAATATACATTTTATACCCTAAAAGTAATTCTAGTGGCTAGCCACAAGATCTGTTTCTCAAACCCCAAACCCTAATCTCTTCTCTCTCCTCCTCACCCTCTCTCTCGCCGCCCTCTCTCCCAACAGCAGCATCGCCTTAGCTCCATCACCCGCTTCCATCGACCACCGCCAAACCCCACAAAAATTATATCACCGTTCTCATTTCCTCCTCCTCTTTCCATATCTACAATCTAAATCTTTCAAATCCTCACCAATCTCTCAAAATCCCAAATCCGAAACCTTAGGCCCTTTTATTTCTTTTGAACTTCACGGAGTTTCAGCCATCACCACCATTCAATATCCACATGAATCGATAGATCTTGACATTAGCCTCGACCCTATACGCCGGTGGCCGGAATCCGACAGAGTCGCTGGTGACCACAGAAGAAGCAACTCTGCCAACCACGACTCTCATGACCTTGTCTTCTTTCTCTGATTTTCTCTTATAGTTTCTGTGAATATGAAGTCAATATTTTGAAGATCTTTGGCTGAAAATTTAAAACTCCGGCGATCTTATTACCATTTTTGGCGACTGTGAGGCCATGGACACCGGTGACTGGTCTCTCAATGAAAGGAAGATAAGAGGAGATAACTATGCATAAAGTTAAAATATATACAAAATAGACTGTCACTATACAAAAATTATACAAAATAGAGTGTTATTATACAATTTATATACAATAAAGTGTCACTATACAAAATATATACAAAAATAGAATGTCATTATACAAAAAATATACAAAATAGACTGTCACTATACAAAATAAACTGTCACTATACAAAAATATACTACTAAATAGACTGTCACTATACAATTTATATACAATAGACTGTCATTATACAAAATAGACTGTCACTATACAATTTATATACAATAGACTGTCATTATACAAAATAGACTGTCACTATGCAAAATAGACTGTTACTATACAAAAAATATACAAAATAGACTGTCACTATACAAAAAATATACAAAATAGATATTTCGGGCTACTAGATGCAATATATTTGGGCCGAAGAGCCATTTCATATCAATAGTAAAAAATATGGGCTATTAAAATTTTGAGGAGTTATAGAGGATAGTTTTTTCTAAATAGTTTTTAACTTTGAACCTCTCTTATTTCGGAGTTAGTGAAGTGCGTGACTAAATTTTAAAATTTGTGATATTATGAGTGTTGGAGCTAACGAGAAAATGTTTATATTGTGTATATTAATGCATAAAAATTGTACTTCTCTCCGTTAAGTTTATAACAAGATCATAATAAAACTATTGAGGATTGGGAATGGCACGTGGACCACTTTACCAGACGTGGTAAAGAAAGGGGCCAACTTGAAATTTCGCCAAACTTTTGTACGCCAGAAGTTCAATCGCCTACCTTTCTCGGGCTTCCAGAAAAGAAGTTCAGGTTTTGCGGTTATGGCGATATGCCTGCCATGGCATCCTTTACAACCCTCTAAAACCCAACATCTCTTCCGTATTCGCAACCCAGTACATGTAGTCCCTATTCGCCATATACATGCCTTCAGGCGCAGCGACTTTGATGGATTCGCGAGGCGCGTCAAATCTGGCGAAGCGTGGAGAGACGCGTGGCGGAGTGCCAACGATGGTTTCGAGCAGTTCGTTTTTGAAACAAAGAAAACTGCGGAGCGTATCGATAGGAGGTATGCTGTTTCCCGCCGGCTATCTGCTGTTGCACAGTCTGCTGCTGACCGTGCCCGAGAGCTTGACCGTGATTTTGAGATTACTCACAAATGGCGTACCTTCTCTCTCGATTTCACTAGAAATTGGCCCAGGGTTTGTTGCCTATTGCCTCTATATTAAACATTTCAAATATCAATTTAATTGTATGCCAATATTAAATTCTGAATTAGAAAGTCATTTTTGTTGAAGGAGACAATCTACTATTAGGGAATGATTGCCTAGAATTTCCCCAATTAACTGTGGATTCAGATATAGGTCTTTGAATACTGGAACTTATCGGACAGAACATAAGAACTTTGGTTTTGATTTTTAACATGTTAGATACTATAATATAATATCTTTCAATTAGTTCATTGATTTATATTTAGTGCTGTAAAGTAGTTAAGGATTGTCACTTCCATTCCGGAGTCTGCTTCATGCCAATCATGTTTCTGGTTTCTACGATTAGATAAATCCATTTCCATTCCATGAGTTAGTTTCATGCTAATTAGGTTTTCTATTTCGACTTAAACGTATTACACAATTAGTTAATTGATTTAAGTTGATGTTATCAGAGTTTTCTATGGATTTTTGTCTGCCTCCTGCCCGTCATCTTCATGCTAATTGGTTTTTCTGCTTTCTGTTTTGCCGCTGCAGTACAGGAAGCAGTTGAGTGATTTTATGGATACCCCGCTGGGAAGAAGTGCTGCTGTAAGTGTTACTTGGTTTTTGAGGACACATGCCATGTGAACATGTAGCATGGTACTTAAATACCTTAAACCACATGGCGTTGATTTCTTACGAAAAGTTAGAGAAGTTTGCAAGTTGCACCGAGGAAATTGATGAGTTAAAGTCCATTTGTTCTATCATCTATGAGGTGGACAAGGATCATAGGTCTATTCTGTCATAAAAGTTCATTAACTGCAAGTAGTAATATTGGTATAAAGCTGAATATTTTGTTCTCAATGTGCTGCACCTGCTTGATCAATTTTAGTATATTTTAGCCTTTACATATACCCCTCCAATTATTGCAAATGCTGTTGCTAGTTTAGAGTACATCTCTGAATGTCACAATTCTGTTGCAAAAATCATTAGTAAAATTGCTCTGAGTTGGTGTGCAATTGCATTCTGCTCATACTAACCGGTTACACATCATTCTCCAATTTTGCTCTCTTGGGCTATCGTTTATTGGCAGATATACCTCTAGAGATGTTATCATCGTGAGCTTGGATAATTTCTGTTCTATATTTTATGGTAGTCATATGTTCCTGAAGCTTCTAGGAGCTTTATTTCAACATATCATGACATCTTAGAAGTTATCTTGTTCTAAATGCAAGTATGTTATCTTGCTCTAAATCCCGTCTAATGTGTCTGTTTACAGACAATATTCTTCCTCTGGTTTGCTCTGTCTGGTTGGCTGTTTCGAATTCTGATAATTGCCACATGGGTTCTACCGTTTGCTGGACCTCTTCTTATTGGAGCTGTTGCCAACAATCTAGTCATCAAGGTAACTTTGTTTCTCAATACCCTTATGGTTAGAAGTAATTGATGTGAATTCAACTGCTGTTTCGACCGAGTATTAGTAAAATTACTGATTGATCCCACTACTCAAATAATAATAATAATAATAGGCATAATACATAAACAGGCCCTCAAACTTGGCCTCAGCTGGCAAGTATGTCCTCCAACTTTGGGTTTGCACAAGTAGGCACCTCAACTTTAATAAAGTTAAACACGTAAACGCAAATGCTGACGTGGCACATAAATTTTGGATGTGTCTAGATGATCATTTTGTAAGTTAGAATGTTCAACTGACCAAGTGGTTCTTCTTGATGAGATCGATATTGATGATAGTGACGGTATTGATGATAGTGACAATCTTGATGCTAATGACGATCTTGATGCTAGTGACGATATCGATCGTGACCTTGATACGGAGCTAGAACTGCTAATTAGGATGAATGGACTCTTTTGAAAGGAGTCAATAAAAAGTCAAAATATGGACTAACTTAAACTAATTTAAAACTTAAATCAAATTTTCAATTCTTACTTATTCAGAGTCTGCGCTAAATGCTCAACTATTGAAATCAAGAAGTTACAATTGGTCAAATGTTATGAAAGGGATTAATTACTAGTCTCTTTTGAAATAGGCCTATTTTTCTCCAAGTTTGACCAGTGAATCGAACGGGGATTCAAGTTTTTCATTTCATGAAGTAAAAATGCGGTTCTTATCTTTAAACCTTTCGAGGTATTTTATTGCATGTAAATGAAANACAAGTTGAGGTGCCTACTTGTGCACCCAAAGTTGGAGGGCATACTTGCCAGCTGAGGCCAAGTTTGAGGGCCTGTTTGGGAGCAAGACTCTTAAGTAAAGTAAAATTTTAAATGAATCTGTGGCGTGGACACCATATTTCTTTTGATAGTTGCCTCTTAAGCTTGGACACTATATTTCTTTTGATAGTTGCATCTTAAGCTAATTGTCGATCTGATGGCATTACTAATAAGCCTGGCATGATGTCTCTTATTCAAAGTATTATATAAACCTGATTTGATGTTTATGCCTTTTATTTTTCTTTTTATTTTCGGTTAATTTCATTGCTGTAAAACAAGCGTTTTGGCGGTATTGGTCCAGCAATTGATAAGGGGAAGAATATGGGATGCTTTCTCTAACTTCCTATTGCAACTTTTTCACTCTTTTCAAGATTGTCTTTCAAACCATCATAAATTAATAACTAAAATTTGTTCAATAATGCAAGCAAACACAATCATGTGTATCACTGTTTGTTCATCATTTTTTAGTATCGCAGTTCTATTGATAATAAATGCAAGGTCTTTTTTTATTAAACAAAGACCAAATACCTAAATAGCACCTCAAACTTGGCACCATTGTCGGTTAGACACACCATCTTCAACCATGGCCAATTGAACACCTTTAGTTGACAGAAGCGTGTCTCGTGGATACAAGACGCTGATGTGTCCATCATGTGTATCACTCTGAGCTTAAGCACGTAAACATGACTTTATACCTCTTTTTAAACTAAATTTTCTCATTATTTTTCTTGCCCCTCCCTCCCCACCCCAATGTCATCTTCTTCCCTGAACCCTCCCTATTTATCTTCTTTCATAGACTCCAACTTGTGAAATATCAATACTATCACTCCACCACTACTCCAAACACCATAGCCGCAACAAAGCCCTAAGGTTGATTAAGTTGATTCTAGGGGTGTCAAATGGGCGGGTTGGATCAATTTTGGGCGGGTCAAAATGGGTTGAGTCAATAAATGGGCAGGCCAACCCGTCCAAAAGTTACTTGGGCTGAGATGGGCTAAAATTTGGGCCATAGCACCAACCCGCCCAACTTTTACCAATCTTTAATTAATATGTGTTGTTTTCTTATGAATTATATAATTACTAAATAAGATTTTTTTTCTTCTTTTGTTATGGTCATATGTAACATGTCTAACAAAAATAAAAGGTTATGTCTAAGATATTTTGGCAAAGTTACTCATGTATCAATTTGGCTAAAATTCAGCCCAACTTTAAAGGGTTGAGATGGGTTGGGTCAAGATGTACTGAGTTCAATAAATGGACGGGTCAATAACTAGTCCAACCTTGGGCGGGTTGGGCGGGTCATTTGGGCTTGGGCCAAATTTGACAGCCCTAGTTGATTCCAAAAGTTAATTAATTTGATTCTGAAAGTTAAAATGGGACTGTCTTCTGGAAACTGCAATGGAATAATGAAACAATAGCTAGCAAGTATTCATTGGCGGCACATGGTGAAATAGAAAGATCCAATCCAAAGCATATATATCTTTTCAGTACAAACACTATAGCATAAACTACAAAGTGCAGTAGAAAACTAACCGCCAAAACTGACAAGAAGATAGAGGGAAGGGGAAATTCAAAGCATAATATTATAGGAAAAGAGAGGACAGCCAAAACTCACAAGAAAATCTCAATAGATACTGTTTATTCAAGCTGGGAGGGGGTTGTTTTCTGGGGAAGAAGCAAAAAGAAAGGGACGGTGGACAGTCTGACTCTGGGGGTGGAGAGGATGATTGTCTTTGTTTTCTATTAATGGTATTTCTTCTATTTTTCTAGTTAATGTGTCAATTTAATTTCTTTCAAATGAAGTGCCATTCAGTGAATGGTTCACTTGACATGTCAGTAGCAAGTGTGTTTCACGCACTCGATCTTATGGACACCGGTGTTCAAAAGACACGCTTGTGTCAAGGTGAGGTGTTCAAATGGTCACTACGAATTTTAAAATGTCTAACTGACAAATAGTGCCAAGTTTGAGGGGCTCTCTAGGTGTTCGGCCTAAAACAATTAAAAGTCTTTTCATTTTACTTCAAACTTTTATACTGCCATGTGTAGTACGATGAGTATCTCTTCAATATCTGATAATGCTATTTGTATATTCATTTTCTTAGAATAATGTGTTACCATCATTTAACTGTATTTGTTCATTTTGAATGTTTTACAAGGGAAAAGTCTTATAGCAGAAGAACACAATAAGTGGGATTTTCTTATAGAAACAGTTTGCACTTACCTTATATGGAGGAAGTGCTACATTGCGGTTCCTATGTCTTCCTCCACTACATACAGATAATTGGCACACTCTTGAATTTTAATCTTTTGAGTTTATGAGCTATTGTGAGAAAATCTATGATGACCAGTTTGCAGCTGTGAGCCGGTTATCACGCTTCTTAACTTATCTGTGCAGGGTCAGTGCCCAGCTTGTAGGAGGCAATTTATCGGTAATAAGAATTCAACAGTTCGCTGTGCTAGCTGTGGAAATATTGTGTGGCAGCCAAAAGGAGGGGACTTCTTTTCTAGAGGCAGTCGAGGTACTACTCGTTCAAAGTCTGAACCAGATATTATTGATGTTGAGTTTGAAGAGAAATAGATATAGAGACTGCCAATGGAGGTGGCAGGTGACCCGCTTCATGTGGATTTCATACAAAAGAGTAGAATGTTGTATAATGCTATTATTGTTTTTATTTTTTCTCCCGTCAGTGTATTTATTCCTTTGCTCTTCCCTGTTAGTGAATACAAGTGTAATAATTAGTGTGTGAAACTTGAGTTTTACATTTGGAATGGAAACTGAAGTTGACGCATTCTGCTCATGATGTATGACTTTGGAGACTAGTAACTCGAATTATGTTGATGAGAAAAAGTAGAATGGGTTTGAATATATCGGTAAAATTGGATTTCAAGAAATCATCAAGTGGTCTATATAGCATAACATAATTTTCTAATTCAATCAATCAATTATACCTTAATTTGAAACATAATTTTCTAAACGGAAGAGGGTCAAATATATCCTTGTATTATTCGAAATAGTTTAAATATTTGAGTATCTATTCAATTATACTCCTATCATTATACTATCACACAAATTTGCCCTTAATTTAGAATGACACGTGGCAAGCTCAGAAATGAGTAACCCACCTCCAATTTTACTACCCGAAGACCTACCATTAATTACCCGACCCACCCTTCAAAATCTCTTTACTTTTTCATTTTTCATTTTTTCTTTTCATTCTTCTGACTCTCTTCTTTCATCAGAACACCGTACTCATACACAAATGACCGAATCTATAGGAAAGAGATGCAGTAGGCACCATCTATTTCTTGTTTGCAGTTATTCTCATCCGCAAACTCATTTTTCCTCAATGTGTCATCACACTTCATTCCACGTTCTTGTTAGATTTTGAAGGTGTAAATGAGAAATAGAAGAGGCACGTTTTGAATTGCACCTCTTCATCTCACCGCTATCACAGAATAATTATTATGTTTTATCCTGAGAATAATTAATCCATATACATTAGGCAACAGTGTGGCTCGGAATTATGTTTGCATTTTCTGTTCTAAATTCTATTTTTCTGATTTTCTAGTTTTGAAAAACAGTTTTTCCAACGATCTTAAGGAATTTAATTTTCGGATGATTGATAGAGAAAAGAACCGGAGCGGAAATCTTTTTTTTTGTGATGATTGAACAAGCAATGTTATTGAAGTTGCTCTCTTGTTTTTCTGGAGTCAAAACAACTGCCAACGTTTCATTTTGATATAATGAAAGAGAAAGTAAATTGCAATAATCTCTGTACTTAACCATTTTCCAATGGAAACACTGAGAATGCAATGTGCGAAGGGTATAAACTCCGTTCTGATCCGCTGCTTTCTTTAGTTGGCGCCTGGCGTTCAAGGAACTTTTGCAATCACTGCAACCGGCGTTACGGTGAAGCATTGGAGTGTCATCACTTAAAAAAAAGGGCATATTTCAGAACGATGATTATACTTAAACATTAACCAAATAACTTTCCTTTCAAGAGGAAATGGTTTCAAAGTAAGAACAACCAGTTTAACGGCGAAAGCGCACATCGACAATCTGTGTTTGGGAAATGCGGCGGGCTACTGATCCATCAACAATTAATATGAGATCACCAATTAGCGTGATTGATCAGAATTTAGTAAGAGCCCATTCAAATCCTTGTGTTGTTAACAAGAGAGAATATCATAAGCGAATGGGATTTGTGAGAAGAATCCTACGAGATTCTACTTAATTATTCTTCAAAGCGAAGGATACCGATGGAAGAAAAGGCAGAAATCGGGTCACTGTGAGAGCAAAGCAGTGAAGGGTTCAGATTGAAATGGGGAAAAAAAATCAGGTTCCACTTTTTTTTCTTTTTTTTTTTTTAACTCTATCCGTTCTTTAATTTTTCTATCCTATGTGATTTATTAGGATAGATGCTTGTTTGATGATATCAAATATGTCATATATGCATGCCATAATTTGATGAGTTGGTATATATCTTTGGTATTATGTTTGAAATTATGTGAAAAAATTATTTTCGAGATTATAAGATATGAATTTTTTCTTACATTAATATTTGAAAATATTCTTGAGATCATGAATATAATATATACAGGTGTGCATATGCATGTTTGATTAGAGTAAAAGATCAAACTATTTAAGTGTTATAATGGTTAAGTTGAAAAACCATTTGAAAAGAAAATTAAAATTCCCATGATTTTCTACTCCCATTTGGAGACTAAAATTTTCGTGATTTTCTACTATGTTTCGAGATTAAAAGATGCGTGATTTTCTACTCGATCTTTGAGATTAAATTAATCGTAGTGACGTTCTTCTTATTTTCGGATATTAAAGTCTGAGTGACTTTCTACTCATTTTGGATATTAAAATCTAATTAATTTTCTACTCCGACTTTTTAATCGGTTTGAAGAGTAAAAACTTCGTCATTTTATTAATTCTGGTTGTGTCAGATATTACTCGGTTTGAAGATTAAAGACTTCATCGCTTATTAATTCGGGTTGTGTCAGATATTACTCGGTTTAAAGATAAAAAACTTCACTATTTATTATTTCTGACTTTGTTGTGACACAAATAACAATTCCTGTTATTGGCTCTATAAAGTAGTAGGGATGGTGAATTGAATCTCCCTTTGAAGAGATATGTTTAGAATATGAAATTATTCATCAAACAATGACCTCTTATATGCCTCAATCTAATGGGATTGCAGAAAGAAAGAATCGATTATTAAAGGAGATGATGAATGCTTTGTTGATAAGTTCTGCTTTACCACAGAACTTGTGGGGGGAAGCCATCCTTACGGCTAACCCAAAATTTAACCGAGTGCCCCATAGCGAAACATAATCTATTCCATATGAAAGATAGAAAGGAAGAAAGTCCAAGTTGAATTATTTTAAAGTGTGGAGATATTTAGCAAAAGTGCAAGTTCCTAAACCCAAAAGGGTAAAGATAGAACCGAAAATCGTTAATTGTGTTTTAGGATATGCAACCAATAGTATCATATCGATTTATGGTATATAAATCAGAAAATCTCGACATTCATAATAATACGGTGATAGAATCAGATAATGCTGAATTCTTTGAAAATATATATCCGTATAAAAAGGAATGTGAGTTGATTGGTGAATGATCCAAACTACCTCGGAAAGGAACAAAAGAAAGTAAATCTAACGAGGAGGATCCAAGACGTAGTAAATGATAAAGAACGTCTACATTTTCTGTCTCTTATTGGAAAATGAGCCTCGAACATTTAAAGAAGTTATATTTTCTTCGGAATCACCATTTTGAAAAGAGGCAGTTAATGGTGAAATAGAATCCATATTAAACAAGCATACTTGGGAATTGATTGATCTTTCTCCAGGGAACAACTTTTAGGTTCCAAATGAATTTTCAAGAGGAAAATAAAAAATAATGGTACTATTAACAAGTACAAGGCAAGACTTGTTGTCAAAGGGTATAGACAACAAGAAGGTCTTGACTATTTTGACACATAATCGTCGGTTGCGAGTATTACATACATATGGATTAGTCTATCCTTACATGCCTTAAATGACTTTGTTAACACTTGTATAAATTGCTCTCGTGCTTTAGTTGAACTTGTTGCCTCTTTTATTGTTCATGTTACCTCTTTCATTGTTGATTATCATTATTTGAAGTTATTGTTCATGTTATCTCTTTCATTGTTGATTTCCGTTATTGAAGTCATTGTTACACGTTATCTCTTCCATTGTGAGCTATCCTTGCTTAATATCATGGTTATATATTATTTCTTATTGTTGAGTTATTGGTGTTGAAGTTGTGAAAGTCGTATCACTTGAGACGAAATTGATTATTGTAGAGATATCTTTCTTGTTGAGAACTTTACATTCATTGTTATTGTTGATATTCTTGTACACGTTGTGGTAGAGCCATGGGCTATTGTTGTATGGAAATATTGATATTGTTGATTGTTGGCAAGTTGTGATATATCATGTTTTCAAAACCTATTTAAATGTAAGGCTCACTCTGCGGTATAAGAAAAGATTGTGATTGAGATTGAGAATTGTGAATACGGCGCGGTACCTCGGTTGTGAGTCTTGATATATATACATGAGGCGGTACCTCGGTTGTGATTCTTATTGTACACAAGGCGGTATCTCGTTGTGATTCTTGGTGTTTATCTCATGTTGCAAAGAGTGTCGGTGAAAACACTTCTTGTTATTTTGTTCTTCCTTGTTCTATCAGTCATTGTCCGTATATGATCATTGTGGTTCTCTTTAATCAATTTCTTTATGTTATTTCCATGCTTACAATTCCCGTGTTAGTTTATGCTATTAACTTGTTTCGTATCAGCTATTTCTCCGCTTTCCATTATTTATCCTTATTATGTTTTCATACTATTTATTTATATCCTAGTAGGTGTCTTGACCTAGCCTCGTCACTACTCTACCGATGTTAGGTTTGATACTTAGTAGATACTGTTGTGGTATACTCATACTACACTTTTGCACATTTTTTGTGCAGATCCATGTACGTCTGCTCGTGGAGGACGTTAGTGATCGACTGTTAGATGCTTACGGAGACTTCAAGGTATGTCTGCTCGGCGTCCGCAGGCCTCGGAGTCACCTTCCTTTACCTTTACTCTTGTTGTATTTTTCATTTAGACAGTGATGTAGTATACATTTTAGCTTACTCTGTAGAGCTTATGACTCAGTTCCACCAGTTTTGGGGAGTGTATTGTTGAGATTATATTTTAGGAGATTATATTAGTTTATCAGACTTGTTTTAGTATTTTGTTAATTATTTCTATCAAGTTATTATTAAATACTAGGCTTACCTAGTCGTAGAGACTAGGTGCCATCACAACATCCTATAGAGGGAAATTGGGGTCGTGACAGTTATCCAGCCTCACAACGATGCACTGGTAATATTCGTACTTATCAATAAATATCGAGTTAAACGTGTGTTAATTGATCCGAGTAGCTTGGACAACATCATCCGATGGAGGGTCGTTGAACAACTGGGATTGTTGGACCAAATCATACTGGCAGTCTGGCTGTTGAATGGATTCAATATGGCGTGCGAGACAACGAATGGTGAGATAACTTTACCGGTAAACACTGCCGGGACCACCCAGGAAACTAAGTTCTACATGATCGAGGGGGATATGAGGTACAATGCCTTGTTCGGAAGGCTATGGGTTCACAACATGAGAGCGGTGACTTCAACCTTACATCAGGCATTGAAATTTCCCACTCTGGGAGGAGTCAAAACAGTCTACTGGGAACACCCGACCGCAAAGGAGATGTTCATTGT